CCCCCTTTATTTGCACACTCGCTTTCTGTGATAGTTCAAAATCTGATGCAAAAAAAAAGTCAGTCCCCCCTCCCCCTCCTTTCTCCATATTCGCTTCCTGTGACAGTTCAGAGGAACTAGGGAAGTAACCCGGATGGTAGCAAATGCCAACAGCAACTGGCCAACGGCAAGGCTCTCGACGGTTCTTTGTTTCGAGGGTTGCTTACAAGCAAGCTGATGGCAAGTTTAACTGCTGCCCGGGCATATGTCAGTACCAATTTACCATCAAAATGAATGAACGAACTACAAAGTGACTGATTAGTTGGTTCCAGTGGTGGAACCGAACCTTCGGCCTTCTGCAGAACAGCAAAACTCGTAAACAATTCGTACAAAAACCCCGCAAAATGCACCCGTATCCGCCCCCCACACAATCAACCGCTCGAACTGATCCCCCCCTCTGACACAACTGGCCAACAGGTCACTTACACCCGCTTCGTGGCAAAACCCGCACACACGTACGTCACACACACGCCACACAGAGGACCGACCACGTGAGGAACGTCATTCAACAACCCCCCCGATTGTCTACATCGATATGCAACACCGTTGGCTCAAAACAATGCTTCTTTGCAGTGGACAGCTTCGATCGTTGCCCAAGAATGCCAACAAACGTCGAGAGGGGGTTGATGTTGCTGAGAACACACACATATATGTACACACACGCACGCATACATACACGTGCGCACACACATGCATACACACACGTATATAGACACACACACACATACAGACACATGCATAAACACACTCACACGAAAACATACACACAAACACATACACATACACGCACATATACACTCACACAGAAGTATATACACGCACACACACACACGCATACACACAGACATGCGCGCACACATACGCATACACATAAACGCATATATACACTCGTACGGAAACATATACACGCACACGTACATGCATATACACACACACGCGCACACACACGCATACACATATACGCATACACACACGTACGCACACACACACACACACACACA